GAGATGAGATGCTCTGTACATGCATTCGTTTGGATTGCATTCACCGAACATCTCGTTTCCGGCAGTGACTCAAAAAGGAGCGTGCTCTGATTGTATCGTGCACTCATTTGCTTTTCATTATCTGTTGGATGAAATGCAAATTTTGGTAGATATGCGACATATGACTTCGAACTGAATAAGTGTATAAGTGTGATTAGGGGTTAGCAACTAATCATATACATATATGAATACGCATATTTGCCATCCACTCATGCATAAAATATTCTAGAAATTGTCATGTATCGTTACATGGCGTTCCTCATGTGGTTTAAAAAATGCGAGCATGCGTTGCATTTCATTGGCATTTGGATGTTTCGGATTCCATTCCATGTCGCGAACTTCATTTGTCGGCTCCAGCAACAAAATGTTTACTCGGTCTGCTTGAATTAAGAAACGACAAAAGGGGACTCAGGGAACTCATGTGATGAACACTGGGGAGTTATCCGAATAATTTCGGGCCTAGGCTCCTCGCCTCGCCTCCGGAAGGTCTCCGAGACTGCCTCGCCATTCCTGGGGGGGGAGCCCAGAAGCCACATAGGCTCCGGAGAGTCCTAGAGTCCCAGAAGAGAGGGTGGGGGCAATTTTTTTTTTGGTCCCCCCTCCCCTTCCCACTAGCCAATCTCGATCCTTCCCCTTTACTAACATTGGGCCTTCCTCTAAGCCTCTGTTCAACTTTCCCGAGCTTCTGTCCTGTTCTTCCTGTAATCTAGCACATGCTTGGTAGAGTAACATGAAGTAGCATGAATGTTAACGATACTACCAAGCTTCTTCACAAAACTAAGCATCCTATCTGTAAAGCACTACACAGAACTATAGAATCCCCAAGTTATATGCTTTTTCACGAAACACACAAACGTGGGCTGTATAGTATCTGTAGGATGCGGCCGAAAAGTTAATCCCCGCAAATACACGCCTCCAGTGTGTGACATACTGTAATTTTAATAGTGGTCCTTTTGGCAGAGCAAACAAGGCGTGCACGAATGATATAAATCCTGCATGACCCATTGGCCTTCAGCCAACCTTGAGATTGAACGGCGTGGGGAATCTTTCATCCTCGCCACCCTAACTGGTTTGCTGGGTCACGCAGGATTTTTGCCATGCACCGTAGTACCTGAAACTTTTGAAACGTGAGCCTGGGAACTGTACAGGGTTTTACCTCGCAACAACATGCACAGAGATGTTTTCGCCAAAGTCGACACGATCTTCCTTAAGCACAGAATGGCGGCCGCATGCTTGGCATTTCGCAAACTCACAACACACAGTTTTTGCAGTTCGTCTAGGAAAATGGATGTGATTGCCAATTTTCCGAGGACGTGTAATTGCTTAGCATGATCTCAAAATGTCTTGCGTGAACACACGAAGTTAACAACGAAACCCATAAAATTTTCCAGCGACTGGCAACACTTGCCAACAAGCAAAACTTTGAAACATCCATCCGGCCCGCAATGGATTTTTTGCGTTTGTGCATTGTGCAACGCGTCTGAGTGGCATTCTCAGCTTCGCAGGACAGATGTGTTTGGAAATTTCTGGTCTTCAGAGAAGCTTAGTTTATGATGTTGTATGTTTGGACCCATCGTGACCAAAACCACATCTCGAATCAAGTGAATGTGACTTCACGAAATGATAGGTGGTCTGACCAGGATGTTTGAACTAGTTGACCGCCTCGTTTTTCTCCAACGTGTCACTCAATTTCAATCAAGACACATTCCACCGTTTTCATCTCCAGGAAGCTCTGCGCGCGGGATTTTGCGAAAACAAGCTGCTGCGAACAGGAATGTCCTGATCTTGGATCACAGTGACCGTCCATGTATGGGTTCAATTTCACGTGTCTCAGGGCACCGCGCTCAAAAACCCCGGCCCAATGGCGTGCATCCTGTCAAACCAGTTTGTGAATCGTAGCTTTGACAGTCACAAACAGGTTGTTTTTATGAGAACCGCGATACCAGTTATGATGGTGAATTCCAGAGCATGGCACTTGTTTGAATTTTCCGTGAACTTTGACGGCCTTGTAAGCATGTTTGACATAGTTGGGAACATTTAATGTCGCCGAAGTTTACGAAAGAATGCAGCTGTAGCCGGAAAGCGTTTGCCGTCCGTGGGCAACAGTCCGGGAGGCCCCGCGAAAACAAACGGGATTTATCCCCGTCATCTGCAGGACTTGTTTTGAAAGATCCTTTCTGTTTGTGGAGCATCTTGCATGATCTACCGCAAATTCGTCCAGGGAAAACGATTGTCACGGGTGTGCAATTGTCGCGATATTGGAACAGGACGCAGGATCAATGAGCTGGAATTCGGAGGTTCGGGGATTAGCTTGACGCAGTTCATGTGACGTCAAGTGCAAACGGCTTGTGAACATGAAGTTTCTCAGAAACGTGGTGAGTTCGCGGTTGACAATTTGGACTAACTTTCCAAAGCTTCAACCGTATGTAGCCATGTCTGTTGGGATTGGATTGCGTAATGCCCAACAACCGGCAGATTTTGTGGTACTAGCAACCAAACAGCGCAGGCCCACTATGCCATGAAACTTGCACGGTATGTTTTGTTGTCGCAACGCTTCATGATAGACATGCGCCATTTACTCGTGCTTATCATGAATTCGCTGGTAGATTACGCGAATCAAGATTTGGGATTGGAGTTGTAAGATGGATGTTTGGGCATGTTGTTGCGGCTGGGGTTCACGCCTGAACGCAAAACTCGATAATCAAGATTCCCGAAAGGTCAGGGGGTGTTTGTATGATGATAAACCTAACTGTTTAACGCACCGCTTTAGTGCTTTCAGCATCCACGACCTGGGGCAGATGGTGTTTCCATTTTGTGCTGAGGACTGATTGCCCTTGGAGCCATCAATCTCCGGACCCGCATGCTTTGTTCGTCGCCATGCTTTGCTCACCATATTCTGCGCCTCAAAGCCCCGGGCCTTGCCCAGAGGCCTTGGAGCTCCATGACAGCCGTTCCCATCAATCAGCTGGCCAGAAACAAGGCTGGATTAGGGTTTTCATGAAGTTCTTATTCTTGGATCAGGGTTTGCTGTGGGCCTCAGAGGTTTCAAGTGAAGGCTTGAACGCAAGGCTAGCTTGAGGACCGTGGTCGTACGAAAGAATCGGAGCTCCGCGCTACAAAAGCTCGAGAGTGGAACAACAGAGTGAGACAATAGTTTGTGGTGATCATGGCTGTAGATTTGAAACATCATTACTGTAAATGCTGCAACCTCTGCTTGATGATGATTATCGCCATTCTTGTAATAAGTATTCGGCAACAGTCGATATGAATGGAGGCTTCGTTACATGCCTAGTTAAGCGGCGTTGGCAATGGTCTTCTGGTGCAAGCCTGGCCAGATTTCTTTGCTTTGCGTAATCGTAAACATACATATTTCGCAGTCGATTCCTGACTTAGTGGCCACCCAGCAACCCTATATTCAATGTATCAGGGTTTGCATACAAGCCTACACAGTTTCACAACGGCATTGTTCAAATGTTGTGCAGGCCGGAAACCCATGTTACATTTTGCAAACGCGGTCGCTCAACCCTCGGACACCAAATTAGGTGGTTCAATGAGCCCTAGAACACCCGAAGCAGCAAAACAATCCGTGAATTTGCAAGTACTATCCGAAAGCTAGTGGTTAACTGAAAGTGGGAGTATATAACCAGTGCCAGAAGCAACTTGGGGGATTTCGAGCACCAGGCTTTAATTGCCCATGAATGAAGCTGGACAGGGTGTGAAGTACACCTGTGAGATCACGGGGAGTCCTGCAACCTTGGTGTGCTCCGAATGTCCTGTCTACTTTGCCACCTATGCGACTGGGATCATGTATCCGGGGGCTATCTGTAGGCATGTTGGGATGTGTTACAATCATAAGCGTTTGTTGGGATCCCAGCTTCTACAGCTCTCAAGCAGGAGTTTGTTTGGGCATTGTTATAAGGCTTGGTATGAGAGCAAGGCTGGATGGGTTGAGCGAGCGTCTGGCCTTTGATTGAAGGTATGAGGAGACATGGAGTGTTGAGCAATACTTGGTGTGCATGGCGCTACGGCAGACAAAAAGCATGCACCGCCCTTACTGAAGGCTTCAGGTTTCGTGGTCGCTGCTGTTTTCGGAGCAAGGTCTAAACCCTCCACGGCCCCGAGTCTGAGTAGCTCTCCAGGTCCCGTCTTTACCTGCCTGTTTTGTTGCTCGACAATTGTCAAAGAAGTGAATTGGGACTACTGTTCCAAGATTCTTTTGGCATCCACTCCTGCTTCTCCATAAGTAAATTAGGCAGCCTGCGGCTTTGAAAGCCATAACTTTGTTGTGGATGGTGTGTCCCTTGAAATCCCTCACCCTAAAAACACAACCGACAATTCGTAAAGCCCTTCACTGCATGTGTGCTGGACACCGGTTCAAGTAGCTCTTGGTAGCGGGTCTTGGGTGATGAGACAATCCTGCCTGTTAGTACCCCGCCCCCAGAGAAGCAACAGCCACATCGAGGATCCTGAGGCCTTTGTTTGATGCCGAACATGTCAAACCTCCACTGCTCTGTTTGGGCAGTTTAAAGTGTGCTGCTTGGTAGCTTAGCTTCGTTTTGGTAGCTTGGCATCTGATGCAAGCCCCAAGCAGTAAACCCTGGACTAAGTAGCATGATGAATTCCAGGCTGCAACACACCTCAATTTTTTTTGCTGGCCAGAAGCCTCACGCCGTGAAGCAGCCGATTTTACCTTAAAGCAATCCTGGGTCACATCTTTCTAAGGCTCCCTCAATCAAAGTACTTCCCGAAGAGTTAGAACTCTCAGTTAATGTAATGGTTTTGAGCCGAGGATCACTTCGACGTTTGGTGGAAAGGCATTGGCAACCTCATTGCGCAGGTGACGGTCTCTTGAAATTCTTCAGGGATTACGCCTGGAATGGATTCATTCAGTTGCATCGTTGGAAAATTCCCAAGGTCCCAAATGCTGATGCTCATGGGCTTTCACTTCTGCACTTGGGTTGAGGACTTAGCTCACACCGCCACTTATCATAACAGTGGCCTGTTCCATGTATGCTGAGGCGGCTTGATTCGAATCGGCTTAGGCAATTGGAGTTTCTCAAAACAGTCCGTATGAAATCCACAAGATGTACCCCGATAGTCAACCCTTCGTGATCTCATGATCTTGTGCATTCCATATCGTGAGAAATCCCCATGTCACAACACACACTCAGTCCAGACCCAGGTATTTCATTGGTTTTGCTGGGGTTCCTTCCTATTCAGCCTCTTTACTATCATGGTCCATGCTAAATTGCCATTCTAGACTACCAGAGTTGCAGCGAAACTTCGACCCTTGACTATCGCTGTAGCCAGGGATACTGCGCTCTGAGGCAACATCCTGCAAGCAAGCTAAACTTAGTGGTGCCTAAGGGTAGTGTGCAGTGAATCTTGGCATCATACTGGGGCAGACAGGCGGACTATATAGATGCAGGTGCAGGCGCAGGGATGCACTCCTCTCCCTCACTGAAGGCACCAGTCCTCATATCAAGAAGGTCGCACTGACAAGGGCAGAAACCATCGTTCCACTGTGTTATCCCTTTTAACTTTTAAAGTACTCCTTCAACTGCTCAACTGCAGTCCTTTTTCGTTAAAACCTCCCTCCAAGAGGATCTTCATCTCACCAAAGGCACCTTACGCCCAGAACCTTGGCCGAAAACCCTACGCTTTCACAAAAAAGGTGGTCTTCGTCTTCGCTGTTAGACTGTTTTGCAGTACCGCTGCATTGTGATGATTGTTCCTGTTAGCCGCTATTACTTACCAGTTGCCTAAACATGGCAACGTCGTCGTTGTTTTTTGCCGCTGAGAGGACATTGTGGTTCTCCGTGCTCCGCCAAAGATGATCGGAAGCGAGGAGGAACGCAAGCGGCGTGCCGAGGACATTCCTCGGTTTTTCAGGTGAACCAAACATACTAAGATGTCACATGCTTGTTTGCTCGTTCTTTGCTGGATCAGGCCCTTCACATGACATCCCGAATCCAAAGGTTGGTACGCCGGCAGTCCTTTCAGGCATCTGGGCCTTCAGGTTGGGAAGGTGAAAGGTTTGGGCTGGGGAGTGAGGGTTGAGGGCTTTGGCTAGCGTGCTAAGGGCTGAGGGTCACAGCACAAAAAAAGATTGAAGCTTCAGACTGCAGCGCTACGACGTTCAGGATTCAGTACCGAGTTTAGAGAATAGCAGCTGCCAGGTTTGCAGGCAGGTCCAGAAGCATTAGTATTGAGCGGTAGCCTTTGTACTGATCTGAACACTGCTGTCTCTTGAGTCCGAAGATCTGGCCAAGAACTGTCCACATGGGTTCCTGGTAGGACGGTTGTGAGGCACAACACGAAGGGATTCCCAGGAAAAAAAACCCCACATCTATAGGCAGACAAGATGGACCATGGATTCTCTGGAGGGAGGCTGGCCAAGCAAGTAGGACTACCCTGCCCCACACCAAAATGCAGTCTCCAAAGTGGCCCAAAGAACTCTCCTGTCCTTTTCCAGAAGTCTATGTGTGGTTCCATAGTTCCTTGGGGAAGCGCAGCCAACAGGAGCTCATGGGCATCCGGAAGGAGCTGTGGCTTGGACTTGCCCTATGGATCTTTGTCGTTTGAGATTGGGATTCAAGGTTTAATGTTTTGGATGATGGATTTCTCTCCGAGGATTGATTGGAAGAACCAGGCTTTTAATAGACTCATTTGGAGTTTCACATCGCGACATGATTTCCCAGTTCCAGAAGTGTTGGCTGTAGAGGTGGTCCTGAGGCAAACTCATCCAAAGTCATGTCAGTACCGTTCCAATCAGGCAGGCGTTGCGTTCAAGCCAGAGTGGGGCATGTCTTTAGTCAGCCTCAAGAACCTGAACATCGGGTATGATCGTTGAGCAGCAGCAGTCTGGAGGAATCCTGCTGGCAGATCGCCCGACATGTATTAAAGTTGTGATTTAGTTTGTTCACACCCTTCTGGTGTACGGTACAGGTTTTGGAACTTGGAGACTGATCTTGAGTAATTGCTGAGGGAATGACATTGTTATGTAGAACTCGTAGGAACCTACCAACACTGGGTCGAATCCTTTGCCTGGGTTTAGGCTTGTTAGCGTTTTATTTGAAGGCCAATCCTGGGTGCAATTCTGGGCCATATTTGGGGTCCTTTGCTGGTACAGCCTTCCCACCGTTTCACGGAGAAGTTTATGCGCATTGCCCATGCAGCCTGTGACTGCAGACCACGAAGCCGCTGAAACCCTCAAACTTCTTGTCAGAAATCTCGAAACCCCGCAGCTGTAGACATCCTTGGAAAAGTGTGTCACACTGCCACAAGGAGCCAGGAGAATTGCGGTAACAACTGCTTAGCTTGACTTTGGACAGTTAGGCCTTTGAGGCAGACCTTGACAACCTTAAGTTGCTGCAGCCTGGGTCTGTTTTCTAAATCATAGAGTTCTTGCTTTGGAGTAGGCGGGACATGTGCAGGGAGGGCTTAGCCCCATCTCAGCCTTTGGGCCATAAACACCTAAACCCCAGAACCCTGTTCTGCCGAATAACTCCGCACAAGTTCGGGGATCCTTCCTAACTTGTTCAGGATCCCTACCTCCTCGAAAAGGAAAGCAGCTCCTTGTTACATACTTGTTTGTCTCTCACAAAGACTCGACCCAATTGGATACCAACTGAGAAGAGAAGCATATGGGCATCGACATGGGTTTGAATACCGTCCTAAAATGGAGGGTTCTTGTGAAACTTGTCCTGCGCATGGAGAGCCCCACATCACACATGAAGCAGATATTCCCCAAGGCCAAGAGACATACACTGAAAGGCTTCCATTAGATTGTTTGGAAACTCGCAGGTCGGAGGCGCGGATTATTTGCATCCATTCGCTACCTACTCGATCCTGCAACTACATAAACCGCTCCTCTTCTGTTCAAAGTATGCAGGTTGCCTTAAGACTCTTGCATGCTCCTGAAATCTCAGAAGTCCTGGGTATTTTCTTGGATCTCCACGAGGTGTGTATCAAGTTGAATGCTCTTCGTGGTTTTCGCAGAGCAGAACCTCAAACCAAGCCTTGTGTGCAGTCTTTTTCATTTCTGAGTTTAAGTTCAACGAAAGGGAATCCTAAAGACTGTTCCTAGCCACGAGATCGGTGTTGCTCGCCTAGGCTGGAACTCTGCACAGAGACCGCGCAGAAGTTTTTGGTACGCTGACTTTACATTTGGCAGCTGCGCAGGAATGATAGGCATATTCCATTTGGAATCATGTTTGGATTTCGGAAATTTTCGGTTCTCTTGGCACCCGCATATGTCTACAAGCCATTCTTCATTTATGTCCTAAGCTGCTTTGAGTAACATGCAAAAGTCTTCTGCCGCACCTGCACATCGTCTGAGTTCAATCTTGAGACGGACATTGCAAGTTTTTACTCATGTTTGCAACCATATGATGTTGGTAGGGGCTTGGGCTGTGCGCGGGCTTGTGCGTCGTAAATTAATTCTGGGACCTGTAATTAAGTTGATTCGTTTGCTCTGAACTTTGAACTCCTGAAGCAGAAGCGCATGATCCTTGTCTGAGCAAAGTGTGCATAAATGGTTGTGAAGCTGCCGCTTGGATGGATCTTCCTCCGTGCTGGCAACTATACTTTGGTTGTCCTGACCGTGCGAGGTTTTCTATCTGTGTTTTGGTGGCGGTGCTTTATAGCACTAGGCTTGAGCATGCTTAGAAGCAACTCAGAGGGGTCTCAACATGTTAGATGTATCTCATGAACAGCCAATGGTTCCTCTAGTTCTGCTGGTACGAAATCTACTTGAACTTACTTGAAGAGCACGGCACCACTTCTTGCGGTGTAGAACATGCTCACGTTTGGATCATGCGGTAAGACTGTAAGATTGCGCATCCAAGATATATCGCACCTCTGATCCTCAACGCCACTTGATGTGTCGTCTGTCTAGTAGCCGATTCTGCGCTATGTGCTTCTAGCAGTACTGCAATCAACACTTGCCAACTAATCCCGAGACCTTGACGTGGTTGTGCCCCAGAAAGCTTTGCAGAAAAGTAGAAGCTGATTTTGAGGCCTCCAAGCCTGCGTGGGGAAGCGTGGAGGGCCACAGATCTAGCTATAGCCCCACACTGAAACATGTGTGAATACAAATGGGGTTTCAATCACAGGGTCTGTCCATGGTAGATGCTGTGTGGTAAGCCTAGACTTGAAACCCGAACAGACCCAATTTAGTTATGCCTAGACTCGATTTTGCAGGTGCAGGGGAAGTATGAGCTAGCTGTTCCGGGCGCGCTACAAAGTGCTGGACCCAGCGGCAGTCAGGATTTCATAGAAGGGCTTGAACCAACAATACGACTAGTCAATGTATAGGCATTCGGAAGAAAGGATGTGAGCATTTTGTCTACCATTTGCACTAGTAACTGGTACTGAAGCCATGAAATTTGGGGGGCGCAAACAGCGCGGCGTTACATAAAGCTTTATATCAAAAAGACTTACACCTACATTCAACCTCGAAGCCCGAGCAGATATGTCCACGTTCTGCATGGGTCACTTGATCGTTGGAGATTCTTTGATGCTTAAGATGCCCAGTACAGTTCACTTCTTACAACAAGACCTAATCTCCCCAATTTGTATGTGCCAACACACTACACCCTGAATACCCAGCGTGCGATGGGCTCGTGATAGGCTTCGGGGCCTTGGGCGATGCTCTCATGCCAAGGGTTTGAATCAGAGGGTCCTTTCTGCAACAAACCTCCTTTGCCACAAGCCCTTGATGACCTCAGCTAATCAGCCCAAGCCTGCTCCAAAGGGGCTCGAAGAAACAAGGAGCCGCAGCAAAAGGTCTGTAACAGCAGGGTGGGTCTTGGCCAATGCATGAACTTCATATATTGTGCCGTATGGGAGCACCGCATGACTTCAACATCATCATGCGGTTCCTGGACCCAGGAAATCCGCTAAGCAAGGCTCTGCTTTCAAACCAGCCCCACCCCTTCTAAGGTTGTACATGCTGCAGATGAAACGAATGGTTTTGGGTAGCGGCAGCTTCTTTCAGTCCAGGGAGGAAAGCCATTCCACCTGGTCATATGTCTTATACCGCAAAGGTGAATGCAAAGTCCGGCATTATGAAAGGCTAGCGCTCTGTCCCGGTTCTGGGACGTGAAATGATTTCAGCTGATACTCGAAATCCTTTCAACTCACAGGCAAGGCTAGCCAACAAGTGTATGCATCGCGAAGAAGAGGAACTGGGAGCGCTTCACTGTTGACTACGAAGCTCTGAGTCCCAGACCCTCAGCCCAAAACTGAAGCCCTGCACGCGAAAGTGTGTGCCTGACCCGAGCTAGGCTTGAAGTTCGCGATTGAGGTATTTGGGTCGGAGGCATCAGAACTTGTGACCCGGCTCCCACGCTCTCAGGGTAGGGTTCGGTGCTTAAGAAGTGTGAGAATGGAGTCAAACAGGGATGTGATGGAGCAAAAGCGATGTAGGGCTTTGTGATTATTTGGTTTCATGATCCTGAGATTGGGTTGAAGGGCTTAACCGCATCGCCGGAAAGCCCCTAAAGTTTCGCGGACATGGTAACCAATCATGGAGTTGAAAGGATCGGGTTGAAGTGGCTCGAGGTGTCGGCATCCACAGACTGCCGAAACGAAACCCCACGGCTCAGTCACTTGCACTCACAGCAAGGTCACGCCTCCTGTGACGGCTTCGGAAATAATTCAAACAAGAACCCAAACAGGACAGATGCAAATCCAAAAGCCCTCACAACCTTTAAGCTGAGGACTCAAGGAAGCAACACCAGTGTTCCACCCACATCCAGTATGACATGTCCCCAAATTGACCCACTCGATTTTTGAAGCTAACAGATTGCTCCCTTCCCCCAGCTTCGATACACTGCGCTTTAAGTGACACCCCATGCAATAGAAGTTTCGTACTCGCTCCAGAAGGGGTCCGTTGAGACTCTGGGTTGGCAAGAGTTTCGCAACGTAGTTTGAGAGTTCATCTTCAGACCATGCAGCAAGTCCTCGTAGCTTTGAATTCGATTCTTTCATTCTTGCAGTAGGGGAGTGGACTCCAGGGATTTTTAAAGAAAGAGCCTTCGAGCAACAAGTTGTTCGTGGACGATGTAGGGACGATCAGGTTTTTGTCCCTGCATATACCAGCCCATAGTAAGAACACATGGTAAAAATCAAAAAATTAAACAACAAACTATCTCTTTTTTAGCTTGCTGTTTTTTTCGAGTAGATACACGAAGCCAATTCAGGATTCAATCTGTAGTCATGTGCTGCATTCACGCAGCGTAAAGCCAGCTGTGCTAGTGACCTGAGGCAGCAGTACACGTTGCAAGGGTAATTTGGAGGAGCCTCAGAGCTAGTCGGCAATTCGAGGCCTGCAACTGTGCAACTACTAGGCAAGTTTCAAGGCGAAAATCACACAAATAATGTCAATAGAGCGACTGAACCGTAAAGTTGTACTAGAAGGAGGGGCTGTCCTTGGATCTGCTTGAATGCAGAGGCCTACTAGTAGGTGAAACTAGAAATTCTTCCTTAGAAGATTCCTCTATGCAACTGAATCACCGGCTCAGGTTCGCTGAATGAAGGGCCAAGACAACAATGGCGATTCCATTCCACAAGGTTTATAGTGGATAAGCTCGCAGGCCATACCTGCAGCCTGTACTTATGTACCCAGTGCCAAAAATCACGAATTACCCCTCAGCCTGGGAAGCCCAAAGTCCTGCTTTCCCACAAGGTGCCCTCCTATCTCCTCTTGGCCGAGGCCTTCCGCGCAGGGACTTTGAGAGTCGTGTTGTTCAGGTTTGCAGACTGTTGGATGAGTTTCCACAGTCCGATTTTCCGTTGCTTTCAGGACTGTACCATGCTGTTTCTCCCTGCGCTGGACCCTGACATCGCCCCCACCATCGTTACATGTATCATTTTGGTTACAGTCATCCTCTAAGTTTGGCGTACATTAAACCTGGCTTTGATGTTGGTTTGCACCGCTTCAGCAGCTTACACCAACTACACCAACCAGGTTGTCTAAGGCGGTTATATACGGCGCTTAGCCATTGGGTTTGTATGTCGTCAGGCTAAGGTTAAGTAAGAAATGAGAAGTTTGGGCGGTATCCCCACGGTATAAGGCCTTGTAGGGAAGAGAAATGCGTAGGATAGAGTGCTAAACATGTTACAGAGCCCAGAGTGCACGCAGTCCGTTTAAACGTGTACAGTTCCACCTGTGAAGACAGGGCCCTACCAACCAGGAGAACCTGCGAAGATGCATGCGTGTGCTTCGTCATGGTCCTGGTGCACCAGCAAAAGTATCCATATCAGTACAATCCGTTGCAACCACTGCAGAAAGAACAGGCGTGATAGTGAGTACAAAAGCGATACTATGGGTGTTGTCCTCACCTTTGCCTAGCTCTTCAGACTTACAGGTCAAAACGCTTTCTCATGCTCCAAGCATAAACCCAACATAGCTACAAGACTTCATGCTGAGGTCCCTAGCGAACACAAGCAACTGTGGAGACTGTAAAGTTTAGGTTTGTCTTCGTTTTGGGGTTCAGAGCGCTAAAGGTAAAGCGGAAAAGGTGAAGCTCACATGTTGCTGCAAGTTCGCGTTGTATGGCGTGTTACGCTAAGGCCTTTTTCAAGATACTCGCTTAAGAAGGCTTGCCGACGATGCTACGTAGTCAGAGCAGTGCCATCAGGCAGCAGTGGTGATCATGATTGTTTTTGGGGCCTCGCCTCCTTGGTCCGTCGCAGCAGTTCCAAACTGTATTTGCATCTGGTGTGATTGGGTCCACGGCCGGGGCCTTCTGTAGCCTTGTTTCAACCCGCATATAGGACTGATTAAAGGCTAGCTAAGGCTGTTGGATTTCTCTTGAGCCATATTTTTGTTGAGAGACCTTCCCAGATCCCATTGCATACGTTGTTAAACTAGAGTTCAAACGGTTGCCTTAACCATCTACGCGGAGCTTCAAGACCCAAACCTGACAGGTCAAAGTGTGTTGCATGCTTGGGTCGCAGAAATCCAGGTTGCGGCACAAGCTGGCGGACCCCGTCAAGCAGTACAATACTGGCAGCATAGTTTCTTTTAGCGCGTATTCATCGAGGCAGCCACTGTTATGTTCATTCGCCAGAAATTTGGGACCACCCGTTCGCTGCCCACACGTTATTTGAGTTAGGGTCTTGGTACTTGCTGGTTTGAGCACGTGCCTCCGATCAGCGCCTCTGCATGTCCACCATGGCGCCCCAGGAAACACTAGAAGTGCTCTTTACATCGCCAAATCATTTCAAAGTATTCAGGCGCTGGCTATGACTTTGCCAAGTGTTACGTATGCAATTTTTGAGAGGTGGGCCATGCACTTAAGGGTAGTCAGCAATGAAGAGGAATCCCTTGCACCCAGAACCCTGAACCAAAAACTTGAAAGCTTAGACCCTAGACTGCAAGCCTGAATCCGAAAGTCTTCGCCTGCAACCGTAAATTGGAATTCCAAGGTGCAAGCCCTGAACCTGCAACCCCAAACCATGTAAAGGCAAACCTGGGGTTGCGGCGGCTAAAGATTGCGGAGGAGAATCCCAGAAAGCAGGGAATTCTGGCAGCCCATAATGCATGTCTTATAGCCTAGCAAATACTGGGATTCGTGATTTTGGAGGGTTGGGGTTGAGGATGGCGGGGGGAAATTCAGATTTCAGGATGTGCCGTTGGAAGGAGAGATCAGGTCGAAAGCGGGAGGTGAGAGGGCACTGAAGATCAGCACTCCCAGACATTGCCACGATGGACCATTCTTCGGTTCGTAATCCTCGCACTGCTGAGACCTGTGGTCTAGTTGTTTTTTTTCTTAAGGCACGGGGTGTTTCTTCCCGGATGCAGTGGGCACCCATGATCACTGTTGGGCTCCCACCAAGTGAAATGTGTCCTAACCCTACGCTAAGCGCACATTGTTGAGATATTGCTTCAGGTTCTGGCAGACCGACAGACATTGTGCTGGAACTGCTCTAAAAGGTTTTGGAAGATAGGCTATGATTTCTCTGACTTAACATAGTCATCATTGAGTAGTTGAACCTGGGGTTCAGAGCTTGTCATGACTTGGGGCAGCACCAGCCGGTTGGTCAAACAATCCTCACTGCCAGCAGTTTTCAGCATGTCCTTCATGGCATCTTTTCCCAAGTGCCTCAACTGACTGGCCCATATGTAGCATTCAAACCTGGGGAGCGAAAACAACATCCTTGGTTCTGTACATCTGCGTATTTTTACTTCATGTTGTGCAACATCCTCAAGATAACTTGTCATGAAATATCAAGCAGATTCCCGAAATCTATTTAAGTTTCGCTTAACGAAGACTAGGGGCAGGGCCTGTTGGGCCAATTGTAAAGGATCAGGACAAAGTCAAAGACCCACATCTTGACCTGAGCCTTGGCCTAAACCTAGTCAAAAGCATCATTGTGAAAAAAGAGTCCCAAATATCTAAACTAAGAATCCCGCGTTCCGCACTCTCCTAAGCCCTATGCGTCCTGAGGAGGGCTTGGCTAATTGTTTGTGTCTCCATCATCAGGGCCTTTATTTTTGGTTATGGATGGACAGCAAATGAAATGCATGGGAGGAATTCTTGTCCCTTGCGAACTGGAACATCCTGAAGCATCCGCAGGCCAAGGATGAGAAGAGACGCTGGTTAAGTTTGTTTGTCATATAGGATTCCAGCAATGGGCCTGGCAACTTGCAGGTTTTCCTGAGGAAGTTGGATGGGTTTTCAGTTGAGGCCATCCAAAATTTGCATCTCACTCTCTATGATAAGCACATGCTGGTCAGGAACCCCATATGAAGCCTCGTCCGTCGCTCCAAACCTAGTGCGCTCGTAAACCTGGAGCGTGAACTGTCAACCCTAAACCCGAAACCCTTTTAGATGTCGTACGCAATCCCCAGGCATCAAAGCGCTGAAGCCCTGGACCCGAAGGACCCTTCAACACTAAGCTTTAACCCGGAATCTTAAACGCTGGGACTCTGCACCCTGCTGCACCTTAAGCCTGGAAAGCTCGAAAATCGTTTAAGCAGTGGAGTCTTGCACCTCTGACCGATTTGCCTGCTTCAAGCCTCCGCCCTGCTATATGATCGCATCAAGGAGGTCATGAAGCCGTCGCCCAATGCTCTAAATAAAGTATAGAACGAGTCCCACAAACTCTGAACCTTAAGCTCCCAGGCCCTAGCCCTAATTGCGCAGCTGTTTGCCGCGGCCTGCAAAAACCTAATTCTGGCATTTGTTCGAGATTTTTTGATTGCGGGCCACGTCTCACTCTGATCCCGGATCATCCTAAGCATTCAACCGTATCATGGAAGGGGTGATTTTCCCGTGCATCGTTGCGAGTATGGCTGCTACCCCCAATATGCCCCTTACCGTCACATTCAAGAAGAGACAGCTCCCATAAGCTTGCTATGCAGTGTAGGAAGTATGATTATCTTCGCCATTAGCCGACCATATTCGTTGCATTGAAATTCTTGCTGCTTCAGCCGGTTCTCGCGGATTATGATTCTGATGGTCATGGCGACCATCGTTCTCTCAAGCCCTAAGCCATACCCCCAACATCTCCTCTCCTCCCATTCCCCTCAACCTTAAGCCATAAATCGGAGGCCTCATCCTCCATGATGTCGAACCTCCAGCGAAACTTTGGCCGCCTTTACGCGGCACAGCAGCGCTACAATGAGGCAGGCATCTGAGAATAACAGCAATCATTGGCAATGATGGTATATGTGATGGTAATGGCAGTAATGTGGCAGTAATGATGATGGATTTTCAACTCCCTGTCGACTGACCGTGAAACCAGCATGCCGACCAAAGAGGGTTGGGAAATAATGTTTGGCATTGTAGGAGCCAGTTCTAGGGTTTCGAGGGGTTGTTGATGCCGGGTCTGTGCCTGTAAGGACCTGTTACAGCCCGTATGCCTTGTATCATCCTGAATTACTTTGCATGAGAGAGTCTGTTGAACCTGGGCAGCAGAGCATTCGTTTGAGATTGCAACTCCCAAGCCTGTACACACGAAGCTACCAACGTGTTACGTGAGACTGCAGCCTACAGGGTTGATAGAGTTCGGTGTTCGGGTTTTAGGGTCGGTTTGTCGAGCTCCACTTGCACTTTTGGTGGTTGATTTGATTGATTTGACATGTAGCCTGAGCAATAGCATGCTGTGCACAGCTATTGTGTTGAGGTCCTGCAGAGCTGCCAAGTAGAGTGTGACCTCTAGCTCTAGCTCTAACACCCAGAGATTCAACCGAGAATCCACAAGGCCCGACCGAAGCTTCAGATCCAGATGCTGTGTCTTGCAACAAGGGGCCTGCAACAAGGGAAAGTAGGGAGGGCTGGATCCCTCGCCTCTCTCGACCCGTCCTGTGCGAGATGCGAGAGACATCTTGCAGAGTCCCTGTTCTTTGCATATGTTGACGTATGCCTCTAGCCGAGCTCTCGAGGCTCTGCAAGCATTTGCAACGGCGCAGCTGTCACGGATTACACTTGTTTGTGACTTTCGTGCGGCAGAAGGCCAATTTTCAAAGGTGTTGCGCTGGATGAAATTCACGCAGTCAGGTAGCAGGGCTCCTTAAGATTTCCTGATGCACTTTTGCATTTGCCTGAATTCGTAGGCTTTGGCGGTTTGGGCTCAGAATAGGGGATGTGGGGTCAGGGTTTCAGGATTCAGGATGTTCTTGCAATCGTTGAGGCCAGGTAAATTGACCTGCGAGCTCCTGAAATTTTTGTCTTGCTAGTTGAAGAGGTTTGTTTGGACCGCTACAGTATTGTTTTCTTCTTGGGCATGTCACCAGAAACTGGAAACGGTTGGCTGGCGGAGTTTATTTGATTTTGAATGGGAAAAAGGGCTCCCAACACCCACGCAGCTACACACCGATTTTCCGACTGAAAAGTTTGATGCATCCATGATTCACCATAGGATGAAGGCGTCATTTGACCATCGGATCTCCTCAGTACAGTTTGGCTTCCGACCCGCCGGGTCTACCTTCTTGCTGAGGAGAATGCTTGAGCTACATCAGCGTTACCATGCTTCTTTCTCTTCATGTTTTCGTCCTGGATTGGTTCCCCACCAGATGTGGTGTGCCTCCCCTTATGATAATCGACACTGATTTATCCACTTGTGGTTCTCATTCTGATCCAATCCGCAGCTGCTTGCACAAGGAATATGGCAAGGCTGTCCCTTGTCCCCATACCTTTTTGTGGCGATCCTCTCCGTATTGTGTAGTTCCTGCGAGAGCCAATGTACGAATCTCTTGTCAGTTTTGACCTCAGACCATCCCCTGCATGATGCGGAGTGCACTCACGATACAGTATGTTTGAAGCGTTCTGCTGATTTTATGCATCGTCAAGCTCACACTGCACCATCAGACTATGATGACTATGCGTCCCATCTTGCGTCTGTGTTACGTCCTAATTCGAGCGCAGGCAAGCATGTTATTCATTGCTGCCTTACACAAGGCGTTGGGCATCTTTTCATTGAAATTCGGGCGTTTCAGTTCAACGGAAGCTCTGTGTCCACTCTCAAATTCCACCTGCGAGTCTTCTCTAACGGCTGGGCTCGCTGGCCCGAACATACGACGCAGCAACCCAACAACGATACATGACCAGGTCGGAGGCCTTTAGCGACGATCTTTCCTACGCCAGCCTCTTCATCAGCGCTCGCAGCGGCAGCTAGTCGCGGAAATACGCACCCCAATATTCGCGAATACAATATTCGGAAATATTCAAATATGACGCACCCTGGCGTCCTTAGCCCACCATCGACAGCGCTGGAATGGCCTGGTTACACTTCGCGTGGTCTCCTGTGGACGCGGTCTCTCTCTCTCTCTCGCTCTCTCTCTCTCTCTCTCTCTCTCTCTCTCGCACCCATTCACACTCTCTCTCTCTCTCTCTCCCCCCTGACACAGGATGTTCTGTCGGCGTTTGCATGCGTGTCGATCACCTATCGCGGACGCTCCGCGTTTCAGGGTATCAGAAGTAGTTCGGTCTATGAGGGCTTCACAACCACCCCTTGGTACCGTTGTTGCAGGCGGTGTCCCTCTGACCCTGAAAGCCATCGATCCTGAGAGGTGGTGTGGCTTCATGTTATAATGTCATGACATGTAGTGTCCAGAATACTTCAAGGTTTACAAGCCCATCTCAAGGACCATCCCTACATGACAATAGCTCCCCACCTGTCTGAAATGGCTGAAGGAATTGGATGATGCGTGTGTATCACACCTAGGTTTGCGAACCATGGTAAAAGGACAATCTTCCATAGCAGGACGGATCAGGTGGCTAGCTGTCAAGTGGTCACCCGAAGGTTCACGGGTAGGCATATGTGGGGTCCCTATGACATGATGAGCGCCAAAGCATTTGATTGCACTAGTTGTTCCAATTATGACTCGCCTTTACTTGCCATGAGCCTTCCGATACAGCATTTCATACAATGCCCGTAAGGGCGGTGCCGGCTATTAGGTCGATGAAGGTATCCCACAAGGGTACATGATAAGAGCCCACGTGCAAGCGTCCTTGCATGGTCTTGATATAGCTCAAGTCCAGCGCAACTGGGAAGATCCCAGACCCGAAGCCTGGCAATGCTATCGTTAACGACACCAAAATCCTTTGTAGTTGGCCGGAATTCAACTGCTGGGGCGGAGAAGTGCTCCTTTCCCTTGAAGCCCTAGCTTTTGATTTTGTGACGACATTCTTATACCAATGGCAGCCGTTATGCATGCATGTACAGCTGAGCCCCAAACCCCGAAACCGAACCGCAAACACTACTTTGACGGACCCACGGAGTTCGGCAATGTACTACTCCATGTACTAAGCCTACTGCAACACTTTTTGAGTAGGTTCTGCAACCCCTTAGACGCCTCGGGGCCCAACAAGTAAACCCTTAACCATAACCCCTATACATGCCTGTAAACACATTTCGGGGACCAAAACGTACTAGGGCTTCGGGTTTAGCTACTGATTCAAAACCTAAACTCCGCAGCCCAGACTTTGAATCCCCGAAGACACCAAGCATGGCAGGATATCTACTATTCATCCTTGGAGTTCGGACCGGTGCTCCGCCTTATTCAAATGCCTTTGCGGAGTTTAGGGCTTACACAGGTCTAGGGTGGTTGAAGATATTCTCAGGGTAGTGTCTGGGGTTTAAGGCTGAGGGTCACAGGTTGCACTCCTGCGTCTTTCGGGTTCATGCGCTTCCGGACATGTATGTAGACGTAAGGTACCTTGCCGGAGCTCTGGTGGATAAACCTCAAGCCTTCTGAAGCAATTACTTTTTGCATCTTGAACCCTTACTGAACCCTTACCTCGTATTGCGAGACTCCACCCCACTATGACGTGGCTGCGGCTTGACTCGGAAAACGCCCGGGTACACTCCAAAGAAAGATGCATGCGAGGTTTTAAGTCAGTGTCAGTTTCATCACAATCCAAAACTGAGACTTGACCGGACTGTTTGGGATACAGTCCTGTGTATAGTCCTGTAACTCATCTGCATTCTTTCACGTAGGTTGTTGATCCAAGGAAAATATTCGCTCCGCACCCTCCTACTTCCACATGGGCCGCGTTTTTCAGAGCCGGGAACCAACTTGCTGCTTCACACGCTTGCTTCTCCGAAATATCCTTCCTACAGCAGACTTTTCGGTCTAACTACAGAGCAATTCGTTTAGGATCAAAGAGTGCTGGGGGCTGTCTGGGCTACGGGATGTGCAAAGTGTGGCCAGCACAGCAACCTGTTCACTTTTCAAAGCTGGGATTTGGCGCAGGCTGAAGTGTCAAGTTGGGTTTTGTGTGGAAGTTTGTGAGCCTGGACGGGAAAGTCTTGAGGAGACCTTGAGGGATGAAGACTTGCTTTGAGGGGCGAACGGTGGCCTGAAAATGAGCCTGTAGAGACGCGAGGCACATCTAGAACATGAAAGTATTTTGTCTGGAAGACTGAGAGCAGGGTTCTATTCTGGATCATTTCAGCGGTGGTTGACAATCAGTTCATAGCCACGTTCAATGCCAGTAGGATCAGTTGAGGAAGGGACATGTGTTTTTGGGTTTTTCGACCCCTTTTGCAGACTGCTGCTTCCACTTCTGCGTAGCATCAAGCTGCTGTATGGTGAGGAGCGCCACTCTAAATTTCGAACTCTCAACCATGGAATGCAGAGGTCACCAGAAGGCCGAACGCGCATCATCCTTCTACACGAAGGCCAGCGGCCTAAGGTGACGGCCCACAAGAACTGGTAGCTGCACGCCATTCAGGTAACCGAAGTGCTGCAAGCTGATAAGTCTGGTCCCCTTGTATACCCAAAGCAGTTTTGGTGGCCAGATTGGACATATAATTCAGAAAAAGCACAAAAAGAGCTCCCAAGCTGCGCTTGCTGGTTAGACACCTCTTGTCCTCACACTCCACTCATTAAAGGTGGAACCCCAAAAGGGCTGCGTTCTGACAGGAAGTCCAACCCCTCAAACTAAGTACAGTCCGCTTACCATCGGCCTACGTGGCGTTGTACGTTTGTTTGCTGAGGGGCAGGTCGTACCCTGCCAAAGAAGGTTCAAGCTTGAACTTGTGAGCATAAGCCTCACAGTGAAGACATGATTTATTAATATCATTGAGGGGTTCTGCTAGATTTGGAAATTTTCGTTCTAGGGAGAATATTCGTGTTCGGGAAGCGACTTACATATCCAGGTCGTGGATGTCTACGGCATGTTCCTAGACACT